TTCTTATCTGAAGTGGCCATGTGTTTTCAATTGACAGCCTTCGCCTCATCCACTTCTTATCTGAAGGGGCCCTGTGTTTTCAATTGACAGCCTTCGCCTCATGCACTTCCACCTTCCCCTGATGCTCTCAGAGTAGGCTACGAAGGCCTCTCCCTAACCACATTCTAGCTGCCTCTTCATATCCTCCGTGGATCATTTCTCCAAGCTGTACGTGTCCTGGTAATTGGTTTTGAATTTTTATGTTCTTCTATGTGCAAATGATTAAATATTAAATACAAAAGTAGGTTCATTTGTTTGTATTTTCCAGGCCCATAATCTCTAACTTTTGTTTTTGCTACAAAGCCTTTAAAAAAAATTCAGTCACCCTAGATTCAGATTTTAACTAAAATTTATTTTTGAAGGTAAATGTGTTACATAAAGTTTGGCTAAAAGGGAAGAAAAAAAAATTACCTAAAGTTTATGTGGTCATCGTAATTGCAGTATTTTAGCAAGCATGATTTTTAATGATACTCAAAAATTTTGACAATGAATACTGTTACAGAGACTAAGAGTGCATGATTTCTTCCACTTTCATAGCACAGATGATCCTCGACTTACAATGGGGTTATGTCCCCAACAAACCTACCATAAATTGAAAATATTGTAAATTGGCGGGGTGCAGTGGCTCACGCCTGTCATTCCAGTACTTTGGGAGGCTGAGGCAGGCGGATCATAAGGTCAGGAGTTCGAGACCAGCCTGACCAACACGGTTAAACCCCATCTCTACTAAAAATACAAAAATTAGCTGGACATGGTGGTGTGCATCTGTAATCCTAGCTACTCAGGAGGCTGAGGGAGGATAATCGCTTGAACCCAGGAGGCAGATGTTGCAGTGAGCCGAGATCACGCCACTGCACTCCAGCCTGGGTGACAGAGCGAGACTCCATCTCAAAAATAAAAAATAAAAATAAATATATATATATAGTAAGCTGAAATGCATTTAATATACCTAATCTATTGAATATCATTGCTTGGCCCAGCCTTGAGCACTTAAATGTGCTCAAACCACATTAGCCTATGGTTGGGCAAAATCATCAAACACAAAGTGTATTTTATAATAAAGTGTTGAATATTTCATGTAACTCATTGAATACTGAAAGTGAAAAACAGAATGGTTGTGTGAATTCTCAAAGTTCAGTTTCTACTGAACGCTTATCACTTTCATACCATCATAAAGTTGAAAAATTGTAAATTGAGCCATCTTAAGTTGAGTACCATCTGTACTGTGAAATTCCAACTTCTGGATAGTCAAGAAGGAAGCCAGGGAAATTTGAAATCAGAGGCTTTGCGGCCAACTAAGCAGAGAGGCCAAGCATATTCCTTGGATGATCTGTGGTGGATGGTCTCTGCCAAGATATGCCCCATTAGCACGCACAGCCCTGTACATACACAAAGCCTGTAGGAAAGGCACCTTGGCCAGAGCCTCGGGCTCACCCTAGTGCAGTGTGGAAAGGTCATCTGGCTGTCTGGGAGGACAGTAGCCCACAGGGGCTGAAGCTGGGCACACCCACTGGGTATAGATGGCTCAGGGCCAGTTTTATAATCCCTACCTCCTCAAAAAAAAAAAAACACTCCGCTCTTGACCATTGCACTCCAACCTCTGTCCCTGCATCCTCTACCAGGCTGCACACCTGCAACTGCACTTTGAATAATAACAGGCATCATTGGCAATATCTTACGCTCTTATTTCAGATAAAGCCTTGAAAAATATATGTGCAATTATATCTGTGCTTCTTTGTGGATATATGTTTTATTATATTCACTATGTGATTATAATAATATTAGTTACTACTAGTATTTATCAAGAACGTAGGGCTGAAGCTGGGCTCAGTGGCTCATGCCTGTAATTCCAGCATTTTGGGAGGCTGAGGCAGGTGTATTACTTGAGGTCAGGAATTCAAGACCAGCCTGGCCAACATGGCGAAACCTAGTCTCTACTACAAATACAAAAATTGGCTGGGCATGGTGGCTCATGCCTGTAGTCTCAGCTACTCGGGGGACTGAGGCACAAGAATCACTTGAGCCTGGGAGGTGGAGGTTGCAGTGAGCTGAGATCATGTCACTGCACTCCAGCCGGGGCAACAGAGCACCACTCTGTCTAAAAAAAAGAAGAAAAAGAAAAAAAGAATGTAGGGCTGGGCATGGTGGCTCACGCCTGTAATCCCAGCATTTTGGTAGGCCGAGGCAGCAAGATTGCTTGAGCTCAGGAGTTCAAGACCAGCCTGGGCAACATGGCAAAACCCTGCCTCTACAAAAAAAAAAAAAAAAATTGTGTGTGTGTGTATGTATGTATATGTGTGTGTGTGTGTGTGTGTGTATATGTGTGTGTGTCTATACATGTCAGGCATGGTGGCACATGCCTGTGGTCCCAGCTACTTTAGAGGCTGAGGTGGGAGGATCGCTTGAGCCCAGAAGGTTGAGGCTGCAGTGAGGCATGATGGATCCATTGCACTTCAGCCGGGGCGAAACAGCAAGACCCTGTCTCAAAACACAAACAAACAGAAAGGGTGTAGTATATTCCTGGTATTGATAGTGTTTTTCATAGTTTAAGTAAGACTTGGTGTAAAGGTATGCATTGTGTAGTATAAATGCACAGAGAGGAAAGGAGAGATTGCGTACAAGTTCAGGAAGGCATGAAGTGTTGATGTCATGACACTTAGCCCATCCTTGCTTTGCACAGACCACGTTTCTCACCACTGCGCTGGTGTATACACCAGCATGATCTTCTGAAGCCTTGGATAATTTGGTGTGGATGGCTTTGTTTTGGATTCTTTTAAATTTTGTTCTCTTAAAACTTTCTGAGGTATTTCATATTCATAGGTCACAGTTACTTTCCATTTACTATTACACTTTCATGTATTTTTTTTATTTTGGTATGAGAAACGTTGGAATAATCATGCCTAGACATAACTAAGCCAACATCAAAATGTTTGTAGGGGAGACTCATAGTGTTGCCAGAAAAAGGGGCCCCGACCCAGACCCCGAAGAGGGTTCTTGGATCTCTAGCAGGAAGGAAATCAAGGTGAGACGCAGAGTGCACTGGAAAGAGAGAGTTTATTGAAAGCTACTCAACTATAGAGCATAGCATCCTCAGACAGCAAGAGGAGAAATGCCTTGTATTTAAGTTTTTCTTATGTAAGCCTCTTGTCTATGTAAAGACTAAACTAAGCTGTGTCTACGTGGAGGTGGGTTGACAGCATGACAAAATTTACTATTCTGTTGATTTAAAGAAAATGGTCCTTAACATTTTATTAAGTACATCAAAGCCATAACTGTAAGAAATTTGAAAGCACATATTGTTATGGGTATTGGGACATCTGGATTTTGTGTTGTAGGAGTGTGTCCTTACACCAGTAGCCTAGGTATTGTTAAGCTGTTTCCTCAATTATAAACGTGGCTATGGGTTGTGACCAGCAAAGAATGTGCCTTAGTTAATCTCAAGATGGAGCTGAACTTAAAATGCTATTACTTTGACTCTAACCGGCTCCTGCTTCTCTAACAATAGGGTCAAAGGTGTTCTTTAAAATCTTCCTAGACATTGCCAAATTGCTTTTGGAAACTTCTCACCTGGTAAGATGGCATGATTATCTTTGGCTCATTTTTCTACATAGACTTGGAAACAGTTTTATGTTTATAAATGTGTATCACCTCATTTATAAATTTGTTTGAATAATTTAACCGTTTTGCTTTCATTCGCTGTTTTGCTACTCTCTATTTTCCTTGCCTGAGTCTTTCCCACATCTCTGCAACATTGTATCGTTTCCCACACCTAAAACCAAAGAGGGACAGGCAAGCCAGTGGAGAGAGCAGAGGCTGATGAGAAGGAAGGATTTTCAAGGAAGGAATCTGAGGCCGTGTGTGTGTGCGTGTGTGTGTGTGTGTGTGAGTATGTGTGTGTGTGTCTGGGGTGTGAGTATTGTTATTAGAGTGTTGCCCACCTGTTGCATGGCCATATATTTTTTTTTTTTTGAGATGGAGTCTCACTCTGTCGCCCAGGCTGGAGTGAGTGGTGCGATCTCGGCTCACTGCAAGCTCCACCCCCGGGTTCACGCCATTCTCCTGCCTCAGCCTCTCGAGTAGCTGGGACTACAGGCGCCCGCCACCTCGCCCGGCTAGTTTTTTGTATTTTTAGTAGAGACGGGGTTTCACTGTGTTAGCCAGGATGGTCTCGATCTCCTGACCTTGTGAACCGCCCGCCTCGGCCTCCCAAAGTGCTAGGATTACAGGCGTGAGCCACCGCGCCCGGCTACATGGCCATATTTTTACTATCAGGATATAGAACACAATTACTACAACTGCATACAGATGAAATTAGTTTATTTTTCATATGTATTTAAAAATAATAGTGTGAACAGACCAGAACCCTTCTTCAAAGTTGAAGAATGTCCTCATGGATCAAGCATCCATCTGGTTTCTGTTTCTGCATTCTCAGTGGATAGCCTCACTTCTCTTTCTCCAATTTTGGAGGATGCATCAAAAATTCTCTTCTTAACCAAACATTAGTCAGGCTCCGGAACGTTCTCCTAACTCCATCCATGCACTTTCTCGTAAAATGTAGTTTTAGCAAGAACACTGCTACGTTAGTTTAGCAAGACCCCAACACCTTAGATAACTGATCACCTTCAATATCTTATCAGGTTCCTCATCCTCCACCATCCCTTAAGTGATCATCCCAGCTTGTCTTCAGCGAGAATCCTGTTAGATCAGTTTAGCCAGAATCCCTCTTGCCCCTGATGTTAATTCTTAGTAATTTTCCAACCACTAGTCCCCACCCTATTCCTTGGGCATAAATTGCCACTTGCCCATGCTGTACTTAGAGTTACTTAAAGAGTTGAGTCTAACTCTCTCCCACACTGCACGGCCCCATTACGGCAGTCCCTAAATCTATTGCAGTGGTCCTGAATAAAGTTTTCCTTACTGTGCATTAACAAGTATCATTGAAAATTATTTTTCTTTAACAGATACTTTGATGAAGGTAATTGGGACTCCCATCAAATCTCCATGCAGCCACGTGGGGCACTTCTCCAGGTAAGGATTGTCCCTGTTCACTTACATTCCTGTCAGTAAAATGGTAGGTTCAGGGTCAGGCTTTACCATCTTCTTCAGGAGCGACCCATCTGATGTTCAGTCAGCCATCAGATGGGTTCAGCCATAGCACACATTAGCTGTGACATGACATTGTTTAGGACAATGACTTTGAGCAGAGTTGCACACCTGAAAAGGGACTCAATTAAAATTATCATTCATTTTAGTGATTTCTCACATGCATTTAGGATTTCCATTTTCTAAAACCCCAGTGTTACATTTCTTCTTCACATGTTAGATATGAACAAAGTAAGACTAACTGTAGCCGCATCCGCTTTACTTGGGACCCTACCCAAAGTGGCAGGAATGGGATGTAAAGTGACATAATCAGAGACCGTCAAACTGGCTTTTAATCGTTAAGTATCATTGTCATCTCAAAGCAATTGGCATAGTTGCTGACCCCTTAAATGTCCTTTCTCCATCTTATCGTCTCCTTTGTTCCCTGTATCATCTTGAGGTTTTTGTTTGTGTGTTTGTTTATTTTGAGATGGAGTCTTGCTCTGTTGCCAAGACTGGAGTGCAGTGGCATGATCTCAGCTCACCGCAACCTCTGCCTCTCGGGTTCAAGCAATTCTCCTGCCTCAAGCTCCCATGTAGTTGGGATTACAGGCATGTGCCACCATGCCCGGCTAATGTTGGTATTTTTAGTAGAGACAAGGTTTCACCATGTTGACCAGGCTCTTCTCAAACTCCTGACCTCAGGTTATGCTCCCACCTTGGCCTCCCAAAGTGATTACCAGCGTGAGCCACCGCACCCCGGCCTCCCTGAGTCTTAATGCTGACTTGAACTTTGTCTGTGGGCATGAGCATCGGTCCTTGTATTATAATAGGTCTGGGTTGGGTGTGGTGGCTCACACCTGTAATCCCAGCACTTTGGGAGGCTGAGGCAGGCTCACAGGTAAACAACTTAGACAAAGTTTTCACATTTTCCGAGATTTGTGTACATTGGAGATTCAGAAAAATGTAACCTAGAATTAAATGACAGGTGGAATAGCTGCCTTTGGGGGTGGAGAGGACAGGCATCAGACCTGGGATAGACAAGGGAGGCCTCTTGTTCCTTGAAATGGTACCCCAGCCTATGAGGTCTGCATGCCAGGAAGCCGAATGAGTGAGGGTGGTCTGTGTCCACTGGGGAGGTCCCTGGATGTTGCCAGGAGGGATAGGGTCTGGGAAAGAGGGAGGGTGGAGACAGGCAGAGAGGACCCCCCCAGGCTCATGGATAGACTGACCCGAGGACTTATATTAAGTCATAGGACAGTAGAGAAAGTAAGAGCCAAGCATAATGTAATCCCAACAATGTACAAAATATTAATCATTTTATTAGTTAATGTCAATGAACGGTACACTTAAAATGGTTAAAAAAGGTAAATTTTAGGTTACATATATTTTACCGTAATATAAAATGAGAAATATATTAGAAATAACTTTTTTTAATTGTTTTTTTTTTGAGATGGAGTCTTGCTCTGTTGCCCAGGCTAGAATGCAGTGGCACAATCTCGACTCACTACAACCTCCGCCTCTCGGGTTCAAGTCATTCTCCTGCCTCAGCCTCTCAAGTAGCTGGGATTACAGGCACCCGCCACCATGTCCGGCTAATTTTTGTATTTTTAGTAGAGACGGGTTTCACCGTCTTGCCCAGGCTGGTCTCAAACTCCTGACCTCGTGATCCACCCGCCTCGGGCTCCTAAAGTGCTGAGATTACAGGTGTGAGCCACCATGCCTGGCCAGGAATGACTTTCAACTATATTTTCTTAACTATGTATTCCTACACAACATGAGTTTTGTAATAGTTTATTTTTGTTTTGTTTTGTAATTTTTTTCTTTTATTGTAAAGAAAGAAGTACATTGTTTCAGTGTGTAAGAATGCAAAAGTAATAATCAGACGTTTATCACACCTTAACAAAAAGGGACCTTATTTTCTAAGATGTTGCTGCATTCAGTCCTTTCTTGGTATGGTAAAAGCACCAGTCAGCCAGGGAGGCACTATAAATACAGAAGAGAAGTTTCCTACAAAGAGTCAACCATGTTACCCCTCTTACTAACTTAATTATAATATATAGAGCCTGGCACAATTAACCTTAGTTTCCTTGTATACACAAGAACAACAAGGTACTGCAATCAATATAGGCAGATACAGGCTTTTAAAGTTCTGAGAAGCAGCAAGTAAGTTCATCATTTACTAAGATCCTTGACATTTTTCTGTTTCTGTGAAATTTTATGTGTCTGTGAGAAGTTTCTTTTATTTTTTTTTTTTTGAGACAGAGTCTTGCTCTGTCACCCAGGCTAGAGTACAGTGGCACAATCTTGGCTCACTGCAACCTCAGCCTCTGGGGTTCAAGTGATTCTCCTGCCTCAGTCTCCTGAGTAGCTGGGAGTACAGGCGCACGCCACCACGCCTGGATAATTTTTACATTTTTAATAGAGACAGGGTTTCACCATGCCAGGCTGATCTTGAACTCCTGTCCTCGTGATCCACCCACCTCGGCTTTCCAAAGTGCTGGGATTACAGGTGTGAGCCACTGTGCCCGGCTGAGAAGTTTCTTATACTAGAAGAAAAAAGAAAAAAGAAAATTTGATTTATTTTAAAATACAATAGCAACTAATATGAATTTTTTTTCTTTTTTTTTTGAGATAGTGTCTCATTCTATCACCCAGGCTGAGTTCAGTGGCACGTACTCGGCTCAATGCAAGCTCCACCTCCCAGGTTCAGGCCATTCTCCTGTCTCAGCATCCTGAGTAGCTGGGACTACAGGCACCCACCACCATGCCTGGCTAATTTTTTTGTATTTTTGGTAGAGACGGGGTTTCACCAGGTTAGCCAGGATGGTCTTGATATCCCGACCTCGTGATCCACCTACCTTGGCCTCCCAAAGTGCTGGGATTACAAGTGTGAGCCACTGTGCCCGGCCCTAACATGAATTCTTTAGAGAGGTGAACCAGGGATGGGATTGTGGATCAATCATGCAAAGACCCACTCCTCTAGGCTTCATTTCCTCCATACTGAATGTGCATCCCTACACGTTCATGTTGTTTTTTCGTAGGTAGTGCAGGGAATCAGAATAGGATATCCCCGGCCGGGCGTGGTGGCTCACGTCTGTAATCTCAGCACTTGGGGAGGCCGAGGCGGGTGGACCACCTGAGGTCAGGAGTTTGAAACCCAGCCTGGCTAACATGCTGAAACCCTGTCTCTACTGAAAATACAAAAATTAGCCGGGTGTGGTGGTGCATGCCTGTAGTCCCAGCTACTCGGGAGACTGAGGCAGGAGAATCGCTTGAACCCGGGAGGCGGAGATTGCAGTGAGCTGACATTGCACCTCTGCACTCCAGCCTGGGCAAGATTGAGACTCCATTTCAAAAAAAAAAAAAAAAAAAAAAAAAAGGATATCCCCAACTGCAGTGCCCTTGCATACTGAGTATTTTAAGCTGAAGGAAATTGAGAAAACCACAGAAGCAGGAAGGCCACTCTCTGACTTGCTCCCACTTTTCTCCCCGGAAACAGGTCATAAAAGAATTAACTGCCCTACCTGTCCTGAAAGTAGGTCATAATGAGACCCTTATTTCGGAGGAATTCTGCCCTATACTTGGATGCCAACAAAGATCTGAACAAATGGGTCTTATGAATTTCTCCCCAGATAATTACTATTAGATGATACCCTTTGTTCCCAAAGCTATTTCTTCAAAACTGTCCATAAAAATACACCTATCCAGCCGGCCACAGTGGCTCGCACCTGTAATCCCGGTACTTTGGGAGGCTGAGGCGGATGGATCACGAGGTCACGAGTTCAAGACCAGCCTGACCAACATGGTGAAACCCCATCTCTACTAAAGATACAAAAAAAACAATTAGCTGGGTGTGGTGGCACAAGCCTGCAATCCCAGCTACTCAGAAGGCTGAGGCAGGAGAATCCCTTGAACCTGGGAGGTGGAGGTTGCAGTGAACCGAGATCGCACCATTGCACTCCAGCCTGGGTGACAGCATGAGACTCTGTCTCAAAACAAAACAAAACAAACAAACAAAAACACCTATCCCTTGGCCTTTGCATCTTGATTTCTGAAGACTCACAGGTCATGTAAAACTTGCATTAAGTAAACATATTATGTTTTCTCTTGTTAATCTGTCTTTTGCTATCAGGATCTCAGCCATGATGTATTTTGGGTTGTCAGGAATAATCACAACATGTGAAGAAATAGATAAAATGCCATTTAAAAAATTATTATTATTATTATTATTTTTGATACAGAGTCTCATTCTGTCACCCAGGCTGCAGTGCAGTGGCACGATCTTGGCTCACTGCAACCTCCACCTCCTGGGTTCAAACACTTCTTGTGACTCAGCCTCCCCAGTAGCTGGGATTACAGGCATGCACCACCATGCTTGGCTAATGTTGGTATTTTTAGTAGAGATGGGGTCTTGCTATGTTGGCCAGGCTAGCCTGGGACTCCTGGCCTCAAGTGATCTGCCCGCCTTGGCCTCCTTAAATGTTGGGATTACAGGTGTGTAATGGCTTTTTTTTTTTTTTTTTTTTTGAGACAAAGTCTCAAAATGGCTTTTTTTTTTTTTTTTTTTTTTTTTTGAGACAGGGTCTTTGCTTTATCTACCAAAGACTATACAAGATTATGTGAACTTAAAATGTTTGGGTTAATTTCTATATTTTGAAGTTTTAGGAATACTTAGTTATATCAGCATTTACTTCCCTTTAAGTCAATTAAATCCTCTTTTAAGGAACTTTATAAATTAATTTGGTAGTATCATTGAGCCAAGTACAGTTTTTCTTCCTTCCTTCCTTCCTTCCTTCCTTCCTTTCTTTTGCTTTCTTTCTTGCTTTCTTTTGCTTTCTTTCTTGCTTTCTTTTGCTTTCTTTCTTGCTTTCTTTTGCTTTCTTGCTTTCTTTCTCTTTCTCTTTCTCTTTCTTTTCCTTTCTTTCTTTTTTTTTTTTTTTTTTTTTTTTTTTTTGACGGATTCTTGCTCTGTTACCCAGCCTGGAGTGCAATGGTACAATCTCAGCTCACTGCAACGTCTACCTCCCAGGTTCAAGTGATTCTCCTGCTTCAGCCTCCCAAGTAGATGGGATTATAGGCACCCACCACCATGCCCAGCTAATTTTTGTATTTTTAGTAGAGATGGGGTTTCACCATGTTGATCAGGCTGGTTTCAAACTCCTGACCTCAGGTTATCCACTCGCCTTAGCCTCCCAAAGTGTTGGGATTACAGGCATGAGCCACCATGCCAGGCAAATTTCTTTTAAGATATTTTATTAATTGATTTGGTAATACCATCAGAGGTAGAAAAATTTCACACAGATAGAGAGACATACATAAACATACAGGCAAATATCAAAAGAGATATTCTAGTTATCATTCTAAAATCTTAGCCATGAATTAGAAACACAGAGTAACATGAAGTCACTGTTTTATATAAAACAATTATCTCTCGTATTTTCTCCATTTCATATTATTTTCCTATTGTCCCTGGTGAACGGGACAAATTAAGGCTACCTACTAAATATTAGGCCTAATGCTTTTTACCAGTATTCGTGGAGAAGGTTTTTAAGATCTTCATTTGCCCTGTGAAGCCCTTTTGAAGGCTGTGGGCTAAATTTTAAATGAGTCACTGCAAAGACATCTAACAGCTATCAGAATGTCTCCACCACCCATCTGAGTGGATAAAATATCCAGTCTATTTCCAAATAATCTTTTTTTTCCTCTTCAGCCTTGGTACTTACTTTTGGAGGACTCTGAGTCCCTTGACAGCAGGGTGGACTAAAGTTTAAGAGAAGAAGCCTGACAAGGGAGGAGGAGAGAAAGATGGAGAAGGTAGGAGTTTGAAGGGATCATATCCAGGATTCAAGGGAACCAAATGGAAGATTGAAGGCGGCAAGAGTAGGAAGGAGGAACAGAAAGAGTAGGAAGGAAGCGGTCTTAAAGGAACCAACTGGGGGAGATATTAAATTCCCCAAAGAGAACAGTGAAGCTCCAAATTATCCTTAGCAAAATCAGGCCAGGTGTGGAGGATCACTTGAAGTCAGGAGTTTGAGAGCAGCCTGGCCAACATGGTGAAACCCCATCTCTACTAAAAATAGAAAAATTAGCTGGGTGTGGTGGCACATGCCTGTAATCCCAGCTACTCAGGAGGCTGAGGCAGGAGAATCCCACCTTCCAGGTGGGAGGTGGAAGCTGCAGTAAGCCAAGATAGCGCCACTGTACTCCAGCCTAGGCGACAGAGTGAGCTCCATCTCAAAAATAAATAAATAAATAAATATCCTTAACAAAATCATGCCAAAAAGAGGGAGGTAAGCAGAGTTGTGAAAGCATATAGCCAACAGAGGTTCAAGAAAAGGGTTTTTGTCAACTGATAAGTTTCATGGGAAGATCAGGATCAAAAGGAGAGAACAGAGAGGCCTTAAGAAAATTGTTCCTATTGGCTGGGTGTGGCAGCTCACGCCTGTAATCCCAGCACTTTGGGAGGCCGAGACAGGTGGATCACCTGAGGTCAGGAGTTCAAGACCAGACTGACCAACATGGCAAAACCCCATCTCTACTAAAAATACAAAAGTTAGCTGGGCGTAGAGGTGCACACCTGTAATCCCAGCTATTTGGGAGGCTGAGGCAGGAGAATCCCCTGAATCTGGGAGGCAGAGGTTTCTGTGAGCCAAAATCAAGCCACTGCACTCCAGCCTGGGCTACAGAGTAAGACTCTGTCTTAAAAAAAAACAAAAAAAAACAAAAAAAAACCCAGAAAGAAAAAAAGACAGTTGTTCCTGTTAGTCTGTAACTATCAGCTTCCCATTAGGACAACTATTGATCATAGAGGTCTTAAAAAGTCCTTTCAGGCTAGGTGCTGTGGCTCATGCCTGTAATCCCAGCACATTGGGAACCTAGGCAGTAGCATTGGTTGAGCCCAGGAGTGCCACACCAGCCTGGGCAACATAGTGAGACCTCATCTTTACTAAAAATAGACAAAATTAGCTGGGTGTGGTGGCATACTCCTGTAGTCCCTGCTACTCAGGAGGCTGAGGTGAGAGGATCGCCTGAGCCCAGGAGGTCAAGGCTGCAGTGAGCTGTGATTGTACCACTGCACTCCAGCCTGGGTGACACAGCAAGACACCATCTCAAACATATATAAATTTTTTCAAATATCTTATCAGGTTTTGGTCAAGAGAAAAGGTAAATATTCCTGATAGCACAGTCCCATTTAAAAAAAAAAAAAATGTACCCATTACAAGAGACTTGGAACCAAAATCCATAGATTCTTTCATGGTTCTTTATTGATATGGTGATAGGGTTTTCATATTCATGTGTGAGATGTGCCTCCCTCAGTCTTTGTTATGACATCATTATGTGTCTGGCATGACAAAAAGAAAAAGAGAAAAGAGGTGGAGAAAGGTAAAAAATAAGAAAAGAAAAAATGAAGGAAAAAGGAAAAAAACCAAATCCATAAGACTTTTATGAGTTACCCATAAATGCAGAGGCGTCTTCAAAGAGGGTGAAAAAAATGTAGCCCTCTGAAGATGGCACACCATTCTCAAAGGTAGCCAAAAGAAAGGCAGGCCTAGATAATCCCCCTGAGAGCTGGCAGTAGATGTTAGCTGCAAATGGGTTGCAACCCACGTGTCAGTCCAGCTGTATTCCCACAGCCCCCCAGCCTGGTGGTTGGCTGTCTGCACACACAAGAACCAACGACTTGTATGTCCCGTCAAGTGGAAAACTTGACACAGATTCTTGACACAAAATGACAGAAACAGAAAAGCAGTAGCTGCTCCTGGGAGGAAAGGAAAGATAACCAATAGGCACCACGAAACCAAACTAGTCACAATCTAGATAACGAATTTTGTAATTTCTTTCCTATCCATCTGCATTGGGGAAATAAGGGACAAGGAGGTTTTACTTTCTTCTCTTGACCAGGAACTACTAACAGAGATCTGGGAGAGCTGACTTTGGTGACAATTCTCACCTTGCACAGGGTTGTGTCTGTTTTCCAGAATCCCACCTCAGACTCCAGAGTGAAGTGTCCCACCTGTCCCCTTCTCATTGCCAGAAACTTCTACCCTTCTCATTCCTTTCTTGTACCCCTGTAATAAGGACAGATTAATGAGAGTAAAGCATGCAAGTTGATTTACTGTATTTTTATGTGACATGAATCTTCACAGGAAAACAAAGCCTAAAAGAAACAGTTAAACCTGAGTATTTTTTTGCTGGTTTGATGAAGAGTGAAGGGTCATGGAGAAATGTAATGGGACCAAAAGGTGTCAGCTAACTGTAATAAACGGGGGAAAACAGCAAGGGCTATTTATTCAGTGTCCCTGTGTCTTCAGAGATGGAGATCTTTTCTTCTGGGTAAAGCATGGCACCTTTCATAGGAGGGTTTTGTTACTTGCTTCAGCAGAAGAAGGTCAAAAAGCCCTTTCCAGGTTTTATGACCTGTTTCAGGGAAAGGTGAGAAAGTCCTTCCTACACATTTGGTTTCTAAAATTCCTTCAGCTTAAAATGTTAATTATGCCAAGTTTCCATACTTTGGGGTAGCATGTCCTGAACATATTGTCAGAGCATTACGGAAAAAATACACACACACACACACACACACACACACACACACACGAGGACAGCACATTCCCTATGACTATCTTAAAATTGATTAACCTCAAACATTTAATTTTGAATGATTGAGTCAAAAAGAGAATTAAAATTGCTATCACATATCTGGTCAAGCTGAAAGGTGGCATTTGGTATTGGAAATTGATGGCTGCTGGTCATTTAACACCCATTTCTCAGTTACATATCTGGCCCATGAGATAAGAATGCTAAACTGTATAAACAAGACACCTCAATATGAAAACATTCTGCCATTACAAAGGTACTGTCTTTTTTTTTTTTTTTTTTTTTTTTTTGAGACGGAGTCTCGCTCTGTCGCCCAGGCTGCAGTGCAGTGGCCGGATCTCAGCTCACTGCAAGCTCTGCCTCCCGGGTTCACGCCATTCTCCTGCCTCAGCCTCCCGAGTAGCTGGGACTACAGGCGCCCGCCACCTCGCCCGGCTAGTTTTTTTGTATTTTTTAGTAGAGACGGGGTTTCACCTGGGTTAGCCAGGATGGTCTCGATCTCCTGACCTCGTGATCCGCCCGTCTCGGCCTCCCAAAGTGCTGGGATTACAGGCTTGAGCCACCGCGCCCGGCCCACAAAGGTACTGTCTTTGTGTTACTCTGCGTTCTCTCCCAGCCCTGTAGCAATTTATCCTTTGTCCATACATTGAAGATTTGTTTACATCTACTCTTGGCCTTCCTGAATATCCTCTGCTCCAGCAGAGCCGTAAGCCAAGGGTAGGAATGACAAGACAGACTCTCTATTTGCAGAACACCACATAGTCACAGCGATGCACATGGAAAGGAAGGTATGAGAACAAGGTCTTTCAAGCCAGATTTGGACTATGTTTGTATTAAAGGTGTTATTCCCATGTAAGACCTTAAGACATAATATTAATAATAATTCAGCTATGAAAGATTCATGTTGAGTTCTACTTGCATGGGCAAGCTGTTAGGTAGAAGTTAAAGACACACACAACACATAAGTTCTTTCTAGGTATATCCTTAGCTGAGCAAAATTGCCACCCAAGTTAGAACAGGAAAAACTTGATGAAGCATGAAATTACCAGCTGGTCTGATGGGAGATAGGATGTGGCCCTAAAGAACAGTAGATGGTGACTGAAGCATGGTGACAGTAGTGGAAGCACCTTAGGGTGACCCACAATTAGTCACTCTCTTATGCAATCCCGTTTCCTTGGGTGTGGGAAGAGCCTGCCAATAGCATGTGGCAAAGGATATCGTTACTGTGTTTATACTATGTTAAATGTCAAAAGTGAAGATATAATGCAGATGTAATTAAAGTAATCAGTTGACTTTGAGTTCATTAAAAGGCAGAGTAGCCTATGTGAACCTCCCCTTATCAGATGAGCCATTTAAAATGGCTCCTAGGCCTTCCCTGATGTCAGGCGAAATAGAAAAGACTCGGTCTCTTCATTGTTGCCTTTGAAGAAGCAAGCTGCCATGAATTCTATAGCCATTGGAAAATGAATTCTGCCAACAAGCAAATGAGCTTAGAAAGTAACACAGAGTCTGGGCACAGTGACTCATGCCTGTAATCCCATCACTTTGGGAGGCTGAGGTGGGTAGATCGCTAGAGCCCAGGAGTTTAAGACCAGCCTGGGCAACATGGTGAAACTTCATCTCTACAATAAAATACAAAAGGTATCCGGGCACAGTGGCATGCACCTGTAGTCCTAGCTATTCAGAAGGCTGAGGTGGAAGGATGGTTTGGGTCCGAGAGGCAGAGGTTGCAGTGAGTCAGAATCACCCCACTTCACTCCAGCTTGAGTGAGAGCCAGACTCTTACAAAAAAACAAACAAACAAGCAAACAAACAAAAAACGTAATACAGGCCACTGACACCTTGATTGCATCCCTGTGAAATATTTCACCCGAAAACCCAGCTAACTTGTGCCTACTGACCCACAGGAATGGAGACAATATATTTACATTGTTTTAAACTGCTAAATTGGCTGGATGTGGTGGCTCACACCTGTAACCCCAGCATCTGGGGAAACCAAGGTGGGGGGAATCACTTGAGGCCAGGAGTTTGAGACTAGCCTGAGAAACGTAGCAAGACTCTACAAAATTAAACAATTAGCCGAGTGTGGTGGTGTGTGCTTGTAGTCCTAGCTATTCTGGAGGCTGAATGGGAAGATCTCTTTAGCCCAGGAGTTCGTGGTTACAGTGAGCTATGATCACACCACTGCACTCCAGCATGGATGACAAAGTGAGACCTTGTGATATGGTTTAGCTGTGTCCCACCCGAATCGCACCTTGAATTATAATAATCCCATGTGTCAAGGGTGGGGCCAGGTGGAGATAATTGAATTATGGGGAGTGGTTTCCCCTATGTTGTTCTCTTGGTAGTGAATAAGTCTCATGAGATCTGATGATTTTATAAATGGGAGTTCTCCTGCACAGGCGCTCTTGCCTGCCACCAGTAAAATGTGCCTTTGCTTCCCTCCGTGATGGTGAGGCCTTCCCAGCCATGTGGAACTGTGAGTCCATTACACCTCTTTCTTGGCCGGGCGTGGTGGCTCACACCTGTAATCCCAGCACTTTGGGAGGCCAAGGTGGGTAGATCACAAGGTCAGGAGATCGAGACCATCCTGGCTAACACGGTGAAACCCCGTCTCTACTAAAAAATTCAAAAATTAGCCGGGCGTGGTGGCGGGCGCCTGTAGTCCCAGCTCTTGGGAGGCCGAGGCAGGGAAGGGTGACCCGGAGGAGCTACAGGAGCTGAGACGTTGCATCAGCTGGGAAGTTCAAAAAACAAAACAAAACAAAAAACTCTTTATCAATTACCCAGTCTCAGATATGTCTTTATTAGCAGCCTGGGAATCAACTACTACACCCTGTATTAATGTATTAATACACAAATTTAAAAAGTTGCTAAATATGTGGAACTACACTCTGTCTTCCCTTTAGTGTTAGGAAAATCAGATAGGCACTACAAGAGCATTTTCTTGCTGAATGGTATCTAAATTCCCTCTTATCAATGGCAATTAGTCTGTTGGACTGCTAACACTGCAGGGCAAAAATCCTAACATGTAGGAGTCTTGTAGCAGAAACACCTGGAAAAAAAAAAAAACCAGAGACAAACATTTCTGAGCAAAAATGCAAGCTTTTTAAACAAATAGTTTGTTTTCATCAGTTCACATCATGTAGGTCATTTCATCCAACCTCATTGGCACATAAGTCATATGTATTGAGCTAGGTGTGGTGGCTTATGCCTGTAACCCTAGCACTTCGGGAGGCCGAGGCAGGAAGATCATGAGATCGAGACCATCCTGCCCAATATGGTGAAACCCCAGCTCTACTAAAAATACAAAAATTAGCTGGGTGTGGTGGCGGGCTCCTGAAGTCCTAGCTACTCGGGAGACTGAGGCAGGAAAACACTTGAACCCGGGAGGCAGAGGTTGCAGATAGAGCCCATGCACCCCTGGCGACAGAGTGAACTATTTCAAACGGCCAGGTGGGTGGCTCACGCTAATCCGCAGGAGACAGGCATTCAGAGTCAGAGATCAAGCCATGGCTAACTGGTGAAACCCGTCTTCTAAAAGATACAAATTACCCTGGGGGGCTTTCCAGCTCTGGAGGCAAGATGGAGCGGAAGCAGAGCTGAGCTCTACCTTCCGTCAAACAAACTCCCAACAAACAAAAAAAGTATATATTGAAAGTGTAAAGCGATGAACCACTTTGAATTGTGTATGAGGAAAGAAGCTCAGAGTTCAGATGGAAAATGTGTTATTACAAACTCAACTATCAATTTAATCTGTCTTTAATGTATGAATCAAAATTAAGTATTTCCTGTTGGGGTGATCGGAGCAGGCCGTGGGGTGACGAAGTCCAGCGGAGTCAAAGGAATAAAAAAAGACAAGGTAAGAGAGAAAGTGGGACCAGGGGCCAACGCTAGTATGGAGGCTGCAAATGCCCTAAGCTCTGGAAGCCCACGCTGTTTATTGGTGATCAAACAAAGAAACAGGTGGTGAGGATGTGGGGGTTGAAAGGAGGCGGTGTATCAAGCAAATGAGCTACAGCTGTGACGGTTTAGCATTTTCTTTGAAACATATGGCCACTTGAGATAATGGGAGTGCTAGAAGCAAGGAGCCAGCACGTCTAGACATGTTCCAAAGGCCACAAGGGGTTTTAGACCCTGGACATGTTCCAAGACTCTTTTACTTTATGTCAGACATGCAAGCCCTGCCCCAGCTTCTCTCCCAACACTCAGCTTTTCCCCCAACATTTTCTATTACAAACGTCAATGGAAAAATCAATGATCTATTTAAAATATTGCAAATACCATCACTATGTTTGAAGATATGTTTTAATTTTTTATTATTCCTTTAATTAGAAGAACTGTATGCCAATTAATAAACTGTTGCCTTTTAGATCCGAATTAATTATTCATTGCCTGCTCTTTGAAAATTGAGTCAGATACCCTTAAGAATATATTGTGTTGGCTGGGCGCGGTGGCTCACGCCTGTAATCCCAGCACTTTGGGAGGCCAAGGCAGGTGGATCACGAGGTCAGGAGATCGAGACGATCCTGGCTAACATGGTGAAACCCCGTCTGTACTAAAAATACACACAAAAAATTATCCAGGCATGGTGGCGGGTGCCTGTAGTCCCAGCTACTTGGGAGGCTGAGGCAGGAGAACGGCAGGAACCTGGGAGGCAGAGCTTGCAGTGAGCCGATTGTGCCACTGCACTCCAGCCTGGGTGACTGAGCAAGACTCCATTTCAAAAAAAAAAAAAAAATATATATATATATATATATACACACACACACATATATATATATGGTGTTGCAACAGTAAGCTTTGTCAGTAGTTGAAGGTGGTTGGACATTATAAAAAGAGATTTTCCTTTCTGATTCCACTGTGGTCTCAACAGTTTCCCATAGCATGCATGCCTTTCTCCAGCACTAGGTTTCTACAGTATGCATGGGCAATCCTGCGGCAACAATGGCTTTTCTAGCATCAGGCTCCCACAATGCATGACAGTCAGCAGCACTGGTTGTCAGTCACTTCCCATATCCCCTACCCTCAGGTGGTTTCTAGTGTAGTGCTTCCAATGAGACACCTACCTGTGAACACCTTTCCCTGGCATCTAAGCGGGAAGATTTCTGGAAAGTTCCACTGGTGCCACACACTGTGACCATTCTGTGTACCCTCTAACAAGCTCTGGATTGCAATCCACTTACAGTAAACAAATGTCCATTTCAAACACTCCCTCCTCAAATTCTTGTGCTTTGTCTGCCTGCTGATCGGACCCTCCCTGAAAGAATTAATACTGGCATTGTTCCGAGACAGTTCCACAGAGATGAGTCTGGGAAGTTGTGTTGGTCATTCCTTTATGTTTGAGCACATTCTGCAGCTCCTTGCCAATTTAGGTGCAATGGGATACTAGTAACTATGACATGCAGTGGTATCACAATTAAGCAATGACCTGTGGTTGATTGTGACAAAGTGCCAACTGAAACACATGCCTTGGGAGTCCAAGTGACTGCTGCACTGAATGTTATGGTAGTCAAGATAACTGTAAGGACTGTGGGGTGGAATGGGTTCAGTTGAGGGTCCTTGAATGATTATGAAGAGAAAATAACAAGCTTAGGTTCCTCAATTCTCAGTTCAAGCCACGGTTTGAAAACCTGAGAACTTCCATGGCGACTATGAAGGAAACTCATTTCTTGTAGCTGCAGGGCTGATATTGTTGAACATCAAAACCAAGAATGAGATCCTGAAACTTGGAATGGGGGAATCTGTTTAGACTCGGTTGAAACTGACAATCTGGAAACAGAAAGTCAGGCTGAGCCTTTCTTAGCAGTGGGAGTAGCTTCTCTCTATTGTTTGAAGAAAGCATCTTTCCTCTGCACAAAAGCTGGGTTAGACACCATTAAAGGGGATGCCCGTTTTTCTTCAAGTCCCCCACAAATCATTAATTTTTGCTAGTAGCATGACTAGACCCCATAACTAGGGCTGAATATCAACCTATTCCTAAGGGACAGGTACACACTATGACCTGTAGGAAACAGCTACATGCAAAGAAATTGTAACATGTGTTGGAAGAAACCTGGGGAAGGTTGGAAGAGCATTCTAAGGTCGTTATACTAAGGAGGACAAAATATAACAGTAGATTGGGTTAATTAACCTCAGTGCTATTACTGGTGATTCAAGATTTATCGTGCTGTGGGCATGTGGCTCACACCTATAATCCCAGCACTTTGGAGGCCAAGGAGGGAAGATAACATGAGTCCATAAATTTAAGACCGGTTTGGGCAACCTAATGAGACCTTGTATCTACAAAAAATAAATAAATTAGCCAGGGACAGTGGTGTGCACCTGTAGTACCAGCTACTTGGGGGACTAGGCCAGAGAATCACTTGAACCTTGGAGGTTGAGGCTGCAGTGAGCTCTGATCATGCAACTGCAGTCCAGCCTGGGCAATAGAGACAGACCCTGTCTTAAAAAACAAAACGAAAAAATAAAGATTGATTGTGCTGTCTTATGTAGAGGAAAATGACTCAAACATCTTGCTCATGGGACAACTTTGCCAAAGACAGGATGTACAATTTGTTTTAAAGGCCAGAGGAGGATGTACCAGTCATCAGAACGTTTTGGCAAACAGAAGACTTTGGTGGTAGCTAACTAATCACAGGGTCCCTAGAATGAAATAGCCGAGACGTGTACTTAAGAGTATCGTTTGATCTCTATATGAAGAAAAGTTCCGGGTCTGGTAGTCAGATGTTCAACAGATGCCTACCTAGCTTTCAATCCTAAGTCAATTCACAGATGCGGTGCGGTACTGCACGGACCATGAAAAGAACACTTGTTTGTATGACTGAGACAAAAAAGAAGGATGTCATCTTGTTCTAGCTTACCTGGGAATATGCTCAATTGGTGACAAAATTGTTGCCACTCTGTGCATGACCACAAAGGTACCGCAGGTATTGATTTTGAAGTTACACATAAACTTTAGTGAGTGGGCATATTTGCGAATAGGTAACCTGACAATAATGAAGATTGACTATCTTTAAACAACATAAGGAGTCAACATCAGTTTCTGAGGTAAAATAATGACTGAGTTAAATTTTCAAGGGCAAATTCAGATTTCAAGTGCACAGAACATAGGAAGGAAAGGACATGTAAATCAGAGAAATTCACAAGTGTAATGAGGTGAGAAGGGACATGGCACACTAATTACAAAGGAATCAGAATGATCTGTTCATAGAGTTGTAAATGGGGTTGTGGAGGAAGAAATGAGGAGGAACAGATAAGCAAGACTGAAGTTCTTTTACTTCTACGCAAATGAGGGAAACTGAGGAATTGTAAGACAAGATCTAATATTATTTTTGGACGTCAAGAATGGTATTCCATAAATGCTGAATTGTTCCTAATTTCGGGAGGAGAAAATGGAAATAGCATTTCCATTGCATTTTTGTGAACAAAATTTGAGTGATCACGTTCTTTCTTGCATGTAGTAGATGGATAGGAGAATGAAAGATTCAGCTTTCTTCCTGCACTTGGGGCATATGTGAATTGGGAATTCAGACAAATAAGCAACTAATTCTGAATAGAAAATTTGTGATTTAGACTATGCACTCTACTGGGGAATTTCAGATGTATAGGAATGTGGTTGAAATTGAAGTGGTTAGGGAATGCTATCTGGAGGAAGAAAATTATAACTAGATGCAAATAGTAGTTGTAGTAGCTAAAGAAAAATATATCAGGGAGGCTGGGTGTGGTGGCTCACGCCTGTAATCCCAGCACATTGGGAGGCCAAGGCGGGCGGATCACAAGGTCAGGAGATCAAGACCATCCTGGCTAACACGAAACCCCGTCTCTACTAAAAATACAAAAAATTAGCCAGGCATGGTGGCGGGCACCTGTAGTCCCAGCTACTCAGGAGGCTGAGGTAGGAGAATGGCATTAACCCAGGAGGTGGAGCTTGCAGTGAGCCAAGATTGTGCCACTGCACTCCAGACTGGGCAACAGAGCAAGACTCCATCTCAAAAAAAAGAAAAAGAAAAATATATCAGGGAAGAAAAAATGGATTTTTGTGCCAGGAAGGAAACTAAGTATGAACAGATGACAAAATATTTCAGGAACTGTGTCCGGAATTGGTTCCTTCCAGTGGGTTCTTGATCTCTCAGGCTTCAAGAATGAAGCCACGGACCCTTGCAGTGAGTGTTAACAGTTCTTAAAGATGGTGTGTCCGAAGTTTGTTCCTTCAGATGTTCAGATGTGTCTGGAGTTGGTCGTTCCTCCCGGTGGGTTCGTGGTCTCACTGACTTCAGTAGTGAAGCCACAGACCTTTGCAGTGAGTGTTACAGCTCTTAAAGGTGGCAAGTCCAGAGTTGTTCATTCCTCCCGGTGATTTCGTGGTCTTGCTGGCTTCAGGAGTGAAGCTGCAGACCTTCGTGGTGAGTGTTACAGTTCATAAAGGTAATGCGGACCCAAAGAGTGAGCAGCAGCAAGATTTATTGTTAAAAGCAAAAGAACAAAGCTTCCACAGGTGGGAAAGAAACCCCAGGGGATGCTGCTGGCGCCCGTGGCCAGCTTTTATTCCCTTATTTGGCCCCACCCATGTCCTGCTCATTGGTCCATTTTACAGAGCGCTGATTGGTCCGTTTTTACAGAGTGCTGATTGGTGCATTTACAAACCTTTAGCTAGATGCAGAGGGCTGATCCTTGTGTTTACAATCCTTTAGCTAGACAGAAAAGTTCTCCAAGTCCCCACAGACCCAGAAGCCCAGCTGGCTTCACCTCTCAGAACTACAGATAGAGATTATTTCATTTACCTGAATCAGTCTGAAAGTATATGCTGGGGCTAGATGTTGAGGATACTTAATGGCACATTCATTCTTTGATTTTATATGTATTTAGATACATTCATTAGCTACAGTTGGCAACTTCCTAATAGGGATGCCACAGATATGACTGTAAATTGAGAATTTTGGTTTCCTAGTGTCTGAAAAGTGGTTAACCCAAAGTTTTGGCTTTAGAGAAAGAGTCTATACAGGCAAGTATCCAGGGAATAATCCCCACTGCTGTGGTTCGAATGATGGTGACCTCTCAAAAATTCATGTTGAGGCCGGGCGCGATGGCTCACGCCTGTAATCCCAGCACTTTGGGAGGGTGAGGCAGGCGGATCACAAGGTCAGGATTTCAAGACCATCCTGGCTAACACGGTGAAACCCCATCTCTACTAAAAATACAAAAAAAATTAGCCAGGTGCGGTGGCGGGCGCCTGTAGGCCCAGCTACTCTGGAGGCTGAGGCAGGAGAATGGCGTGAACCCAGGAGGAGGAGCTTGCAGTGAGCTGAGATCCCGCCGCTGCACTCCAGCCTGGGCGACAGAGCGAGACTCTGTCTCAAAAAAAATGAATAAAATAAAATAAAAATAAAAAATAAAATAAAATTCATGTTGAAATGTAATCTTCAGTGCAATTGTATGTTGCCCAGGCTGGTCTTAAGCTCCCGGGCTCAAGTGATCCTCCCACCTTGGCCTCCCAAAATGCTGGCCCTACAGGCATGAGCCACCACGCCTGGCCAAGACACTACCTTGAAAGCACAGAGTAGGCCAGGCATGGTGGCTCAGGCTTGTAATCCCAGCATTTTGGGAGGCCGAGGTGGGTGGATCACGATGTCAGGAGTTTGAAAGCAGCCTGGCCAACATAGTGAAGCCCTGTCTCTACTAAAAATACAAAAATTAACTGGGCATTGTGGTGGGCATCTATAATCCCAGCTGTTTAGGAGGCTGAGGCAGGAGCATCACTTGATCACTTGAACCCCGGAGGTGGAGGTTGCAGTGAGCCAAGATTGCACCACTGCACTCCAGCCTGGGCAACAGAGTCAAACTCCATTTCAAAAAAAAAAGAAAGAAAGCACAGAGCGTCCCTTACCAGACACCAATTAACCAATTATGCCAGTGACTTGATGGCATAATAATTGGATTGACATAATTGGATTTCCAGAACTGTGAGAAACAAATTTCTGTTCTTTATAGATTTCCTAGTCTCAGATATTATGCTTAGCAGCACAATTGACTAAGATAGAAATTGGTACTGAGAAGTGGCAGTGTTGCTATAACAAATACCTAAAAATGTAGAGGCTGCTTTGGAGCTGGGTAATGGGTAGAGGCTGGAGGAGAGTTTGGAAGTGCATGCTGGAAGAAGCCTAGTTTGCCATGCATTAAGGCGATTCTGGTGAGGTTTCAGAAGAAGATGAAAAGCCATAGAGAAAGCCTCCATCTTTGAGATTATCTAGCTGGTTGTGAACAGAATGTTGGAAACAATATAGACAGTAAAGGCCATTCTGATGAAGTCCTAGATGGAAATAAGGAATATCTTATTGGAAACTAGAGGAAAAGCCATCCTTGTTACAAAACGGTGGAGGATTTGTTCCTGGAAAGAACAAGGTCTGGGAAAGAAGGGAGTTTATTTCTGCAGCTGGTTACAGGGAGAAGGCCGGAGTAATTCGCCATACCAATGCAAAGTTACAAGTTTTTTTAGTGCTTATATACATTCTAAGCTCCATGCTACGAGTGGAATTGCATCTCCAAAGAGGAGCGTTTCCTTCAATCTATGTCTTATCTTTAAGTAGGACCTAGGGTCTGGAAATCTTTCTCTAGAGTCTTGGAAAGCTTTTTAATCTTAAGTGGGTACCTAGAACAAGGTATATGTGTAAAATGCTTTTATTATTCAACCAGACTTTAGGCTATGAAAGCCCAGGCGAGGACTTAGTGGGTTTATTTTAATGTTCCAGCCCTTACGCTCAGACAACAGTTTCTCCAGTTCTTTAATGTTTACATTATACATTGATTAGAATTATAATAGAAGGTCAGTGGAAACAGACTGTTCTTGTTGCTAATGGGAGCCTGCCTGCCACAAACTTGGTGGAGGTATTTCTGTGTCTTAGTAGTTTTTGGAGGGTAGAATGTAAGAGCAATGAACTAGGATATTTGGCAGAAGAAATCTCTAAGCCAAGTTTTCAGGGTACTGCATGGCTTCTCTTAAATGCTTATAGTAAACTGTGAGAAGAGAAAGTCAAGTTAAAGATAGAATTTATAGGCCGGGCATGGTGGTTCACGCCTGTAATCCCAGCACTTTGGGAGGCTGAGGTGGGCGGATCATGAGGTCAGAAGATAGAGACCATCCTGGCTAACAGGGTGAAACCCCGTCTCTGCTAAAAATACAAAACCTTAGCTGGGCGTGGTGGCGGGCACCTGTAGTCCCAGCTACTCGGGAGGTTAAGGCAGGAGAATGGCGTGAACCCGGGAGGTGGAGCTTGCAGTGAGCTGAGATCACACCACTGCACTCCAGCCTGGGCGACAGAGCAAAACTCCGTCTCAAAAAAAAAAAAAAAAAAAAAAAAAAAAAAAAAAAAAGATAGAACTTATAATCAGAAGGGAAACAGATCAGCTGGGATGGGTTGCTTGAGCACAGGAGGTCGAGGCTGCAATGAGCTATGATCATACTACAGTCTGGGCAACAGAGTGAGTCCCCATCTTAAAAAAAAAATGATGATTATTATTATTATTATTATTATTGAGATGGAGTCTTGCTCTGTTGCCCAGGCAGGAGTGCGATGGCACAATCTTGGCTCACTGCAACTTCTGCCTCCTGGGCTCAAGTGATTCTCCTGACTCAGCCTCCCAAGCAGCTGAGATTACAGGTGCCTGCCACCATGCCCAGCTAATTTTTGTATTTTTAGTAGAGATGGGGTTTCATCATATTGGCCAGGCTGGTCTCGAACTCCTGACCTTGTGACTCACCAACCTCGGCCTCCCAAAGTGCTGGGACTACAGGTGTGAGCCACCTCGCCTGGCCAAAGATGATGATGATGATTATGATTATTATTTTATCCAAAATGTGTTTATTGAGATGGTTTCTCACTAATCTTGATTCAGAGTGCTTTTAGTGCTGCTTCCTCCTAAAGGAACATCCTTCTGTAAGCCTTGCTTTTCCTCCTGTAGGCTGGCAGAGGACAGTGCAGCAGCCAACACACAAAACTACCGTTTGTGCACGGCTAAGGACCGTGGTGATTTTATAGCATCCTGGGGATTTCACATCCATGAAGTAGGAATTGGGGCTCTGCACCAGGCGTTTCTTCTTGTGTTTCCTCTTCTCCTCTTCTGGAGAGGGATGAAGGAGATCCTTTGCAAGAGACGTGTTCTCATGGGTAGGTCGTCCCTGCCGGAAAGGGCCAAAGAAAATTATTTTTAAAGGGAAGTTGAACATAAAGATTTGGAAAATTAACAGCCTGGCCTTGTGAAGAATTTTTAAAATGTGTTCAGGAGAGAAAACCAACTGTGTGGCCAACTGACCATTTGATAAGGAGGTTAGTATGACTAGGACACCAGATACTATTCATTAACACAATGGGAGGGTGACCCTGAAGACATTTCAGAGAACACTGAGGATGCCACAACCATCACAGACTCAAGTGCCAGGTCCTTGAGGGAATAACAATTTTAAGGAAGGATCCCAGGGTCCCAGTGAAACCCAGGATGCCTGTGGGAACTTGGGGCTCAGTGACTATGCTGCCTCATGTATCTCCTCCCTGAAGTCAAGCGAAGCGTTCCCCAGCTTCCCCATCTGTGGTTCAAGTGGGCCCAGGTACAGCTCAGATCACTCCTCCGGAAAACACAAGGAGCCAAACATGGGGCAGCTCCCATGCGGTGCTAACTGCCGGCATGCTAAATCTACAGCTGTGAAGGCATGGCTTTCTCCACCTAATTTCCGAGGAAGCCTTGAAGAATGCCTCAGGGCCCAATCAGAGAACTGCTATAGGGGCAGGGCTGCCATAGATAGTTCCCACCAGGGCAATGTCCAGCAGAACTGTTGGGTTGGGGCCACCACAGAGTGCCCTCACTAGGGCAATACTCAGTTGAGCCATGTGGGCAGGACCACCCCTGAGTTCCCAGACCCAGACCTATGATTCACTAGTGCATAATTCCAACCTGTGGTAGACATAGACACCTGACTACAACCTGCAGAACTGTGGCGTGGGCTGACTCCAGCAGTCATGGCAGCAGAGTCCCCTGGAGGCTTGGGAACCTAAGCCCTACCCCAGTGTCTCTGTAAGGTGAGAGGTAGAATCAAAAAAGCTGATTCTCACACCTCAAGATTAAATTTTGTTGGCCTTGTTGGGTTTGAAGTTATGTGGGACATGTTACCCCTATCTTCTTGCCTATTTCTTCCACCAACCTTTTGTTTTCGCCATGGACCTCGTGTTCTGCCCACCTCGGCCTCCCAAGGTGCTGGGATTACAGGGGTGAGCCACCTTGCCTGGCTGAGAAGAGAGTTCTTGATAAACAGGCTTCCATGTTAAAACTAGATTTTATAATGAGGTCCACAGATGGGTGGAGGAGAAGCCTGAGTAAATTTTGGTTAAGCAGAGAAACTTTGTTATCCCTCCTGTATGCATTATGCTCCCTTTTCTCCAACGGAGCTCTCTTCCAACTTGATGTTATTTTCCAATCAATCTGTTTTCCTAGTGTTGATGTTCTGATTTCATCTTACAAAAATATAGCATAAACTTTTATTTGTTGCATTATACAACATAAGCCTGACAATATAACAAATTGTTCCCAAAACTATAAATTCCTCGCCTTTTTATTTGTAATTTGACTTTTGTAAATTGAATCCTATGTAATATAGATGGAATAGCTATGGCTAATTATAAAAAATAAAAAAAAAAAAAAAAAAAAAAAAAAATCTATGTAATTATAGAAGAATGTTGCTATTATAAAAATTTTAAGGGGTGGCAGGGAATAATTCCAAAATTATAAAACTCCTTGTGACAAATTTAGGAATGATATTCAGCTAGTTCTATAGTTTTTTATTCCTTGAATAATCAGCAATATACATCCGATTATAAACACACATTGTGGGATTTTTTGGCCAGGTTGACTTTTTTTTTTTTTTTTTTTTTGAGATGGAGTCTCACTCTGCTGCCCAGGCTAGAGTGCAATGGCGCAATCTCGGCTCACTGCAACCTCTGCCTCCCGGATTCAAGTGATTCTCCTGCCTCAGCCTCCCGAGTACCTAGGATTACAGGCACCCGCCACCACACCCAGCTAATTTTTGTATTTTTAGTAGAGATGGGGTTTCACTACATTGGCCAGGTTGGTCTCAAGCTCCTGACCTTGTTATCCACCCACATTGGCCTCCCAAAGTGCTGGGATTACAGGCATGAGCCACCGCGTCTGGCCTTGGGTGACTTATTCTTTTAAGGAGCAATGTGGGTTAATGTTTCAAGGTGAAAAAATTTAAAAACTTGGGGGAAAGTGAGGGGAAGGGACAGAGAGATATTGAGAGAGATCAGATAGGTACATAAGCTTAGTGACTCAGCCTGTACTCCCAGTTACTTAGGAGGCTAAGGCAGGAGGATCACTTGAGCCCAGAAACTCAAGTTTTCAGTGAGCAGTGATTGTAACACTGCACTCCAGGCCATGTGATAGAACCAGACCTCGTCTCTAGAAAAAAAGAAAATATATATATACATACATACATTGGTGTTTGTTTCTACATATGCTTCATAGTATATGTGTACATGGATTATAGGTAGATCATAGAATGGTAACAGTATTAAATTAGGTGGCAGCGTTTGTTCAGGAAGTAGTATGCACATTTGAAATTTTAATTGAGAATTGTGTCTGGTCGGTTTGTGGTCTCACTGACTTCAGGAATGAGCTGAGAACCTTCTGAACCTTAGCAGTGAGTGTTATAACTCTTAAAGGTGGCACAGACCTGAAGAGTGAGCAGCAACAAGATTTATTGTGAAGATGGAAAGAACAAAACTTCCACAGCATGAAAGGGAACCACAGCAGGTTGCCCGTGGTGGTTGGGGTGGAGTGGCCAGCTTTTATTCCCTTATTTGTCCCCGCCCATATCCTGCTGATTGGTCATTTTACAGAGTGCTGACTGGTCCATTTTACAGAGTGCTGATTGGTCCATTTTACAAACCTCTAGCTAGCTACAGAGCATCAGTTGGTGCGTTTTTACACAGCACTGATTGGTGCATTTTACAAACCTCTTGTAAGACAGAAAAGTTCTCCAGGTCCCCACCCGACCCAGGAAGTCCTGCTGGCTTCACCTCTCAGAATCAGCTTTTAAAGGCCATAAATTTCCAGGTAAGTAGGAATAGAAGAAACTAACATTTCCTTTGAGATCTATGATGTCATTTTTTTCTCCATCAATGATTTAGTTCCTTCTGGATCAAATGCTTTTTACATGGATGTATGTTTTATAGTAAATGTTATGTTGTCTTAATTATTTTAAAACTCCTATTCCTAGACTCTCCTGAAGGAGGAATTTAGTAGTTTTGAAGTATTTTTTGAGGCTAGGGAAGAAAAACCAAGATGACTGCATAAGGTTTCAGGGGATGTTCCATGCCTACCACCTGGTGAAAATGAGGGAGCTTTCCTCCTACCCGCCACTATTGCAGCAGCCTGCAGGAAATACGCCATCATTTCAGCGCGGCCGGCTCGCCCCTGGGTATTCTGGGAAGGTGACGTGTCGGGGCCAGTGGCCGCTCGCAGGGGCCAAACCCGCCCTGGTCTGCACCGCAGTGCGCAGTGAGGGTGTTGGTGCTGCTCCTCAGGGTTATTTTCCGCGGCCGCGGGAAGCCCGTGTTCCGCATTTGTTTTTTATGTTCTCTAATGTTAATGTTGTGGATTTAGTTTTTTAAAAAACATAAATGTTCCTCTACAGTCTTAACAATGGACCCTATAAAATAAGATTTTAAAGGATCCTGCTTTCCCTTATTAATTTTAGACTTTTTTCTTTTAGTTCTGGCTTTACAAATGTGACCTAAAGAGAGCACTTGGTTTTATGTAGAACAATACAAACATCGTTTTACATGAATTTTATGGTTACAAAAATCATTTATGGGCAAATTTGTTCACGTGCCTTTTAAAATATTGTGTTGTCTTTAATAGATTTTCAAAATACTTTAAATATTTTTCAGTAAGTTTGAGGGTAGAATTTATTTTAATGAGACTCCTCTTATAAAGTACATATCTGTGTGTGCATATGTGTATATTGAATTTGCTTTTGATTCTATCCTGTCACTTTTCTAGCAAAATGTTTCTAATGGACAGAGGCCAGAGAAGCACAGCAAATTTGCCACAGTACCACATATTTTATCTTAAAAGATGGTATGGATTTTGCATAACATACATGTGCAAACATATATATATAACATATAACGTAAAAAAATATAAATAAAACATATAGCTGTTTGGTTTATTTTATGTGTGTGCATTAAAAAATTATTCAGTTGCCGGGCGCGGTGGCTCATGCCTGTAATTCCAGCACTTTGGGAGGCCAAGGCAGGTGGATCACGAGGTCAGGAGATCGAGGCCATCCTGGCTAACAAGGTGAAACCCCGTTTCTACTAAAAATACAACAAATTAGCCGGGCGTGGTGACGGGTGCCTGTGGTCCCAGCTACTCAGGAGGCTGAGGCAGGATAACGGTGTGAACCCGGGAGGCGGAGCTTACAGTGAGCCAAGATTGCACCACTGCACTCCAGCCTGGGCGACAGAGCGAGACTCCGTCTCAAAAAAAAAAAAAAAAAAAAAAAAAAAAAAAATTATTCAATTATGCTTGTTAAAGCAAGGTAAGGGTCACCATACAGGGACCTCTGCAGGTAGAGATTGGGCTAACTCTGAATACAGCCTGGGCAAGTGGGAGTTTATAACCAAAGAGCAGGCTGGGAGGTCTGTGAATGGAAATTTACCGAGGAGAAACCTCAAAGGTTAGGGGGATTATGGCGAAACCAGCCTAAAAGGATTTTTTGCTGAAGACAGGCCAGGGTGATCAAACAGCACTTGGGGGAATGGTGCAGGATGATGAACCTGGTAAGATATTTTTGTTTGTTTGTTTGGTTTTGTTTTTTTGAGACGGAGTCTCACTCTCTCCCCCAGGCTGGAGTGCAGTGGCGCGATCTCAGCTCACTGCAAGCTCCGCCTCCCGGGTTCACGCCATTCTCCTGCCTCAGCCTCCGGAGTGGCTGGGATTACAGACACGCGCCAACACGCCCGGCTAATTTTTTGTATTTTCAGTAGAGACGGGGCTTCACCGTGTTAGCCAGGATGGTCTCGGCCTCCCAAAGTGCTGGGACTACAGGCGTGAGCCACCTCGCCGGGCCCCTGAACCTGGTAAGATATTAAGGGAGATCAGATATCAAAAGTAAGGAGGTTCTTGCTAAAGCTGGATTTCACAAGGGAAGTGCACGGACCAGAGAAGGTTCAGGTGCCTGACTAAAGTTTGATCAAGCAAAGAATCTTTGTCAGTGTACAGAAAACTACGTTTTTATAAAATATTCCTCTGGCGCATCTGTATCTCCCCTTTTCATGGAACACAAAGCACGTTTTATGTAACTTCTAGATACATGCACTTGTATTTTGAATGACCTGATGTATCTTCTCTTTTCAATTCTCAGCCTCAGTATATATAAGTGGAACTTAGAAGGCAATATTCCCTGAACATACTCTTCCACCAGAATCTCCTCTACAGATTTTTGCTGCCCGTTTTACCAGTGGCTGAAGCTACCTTCTCTTATGTAAGTAGAAATGTTACATATCTCCAGCCTCTTCCTCCTTACCTGCCAACCCTGTCTAGTCCATGACTCCTCTGTTATAAATGCTTATAAAACGTTTTTTCTGAATCAGAAACGTGTTGTATTGCTCAAGCCATGTTCATTTTAATTACAATTTAACTGCATAATTTAATTTCCCCATTTTTTGGATATAGTGTTTGCTTTTCTCCAGTGGTTCTACTTTGTTCTAGTATATCCCTCTGGCAAGGGCAGTTGTTTCCTCACTTGAGTGGGCATTAGTATCACCTGGGGGCTTGTTAAACTGTGCAAGCTCCATCCCAGGTTTCTAATTGTCAGGGTTTGGTTTGCGGCATAAGAATTTGCATTTCTAACAAGTGCCAGAATTGGTCTGAGGAATGCACGTTGAGAGAAGTGGGATTCGGGTTCACTAACCTGGTTTAGAGAAAATTACAGTAGTGTGCCAAATCTGAGGAGGGAGCAGAGTTGAAGCCCAGTTTCAATATGTGAATGAGTGCTTTATACACTCAAACCCCTTCAAGGGCTGGGGAGTAAGGGAGAACATGAGTGGGCGGGCAGGGGGCGTGCACAGAGGCATACACTCAATCCCAGACCTATGGATTGAGAATCACGTGTTAATAATACTTTCAGTGTTTTGTGTGTTTATTACAGTTTGAGAATGACTGGACCAAACTGCCTCCAAAATCTTAAGTCCCAGCAGCAAAGCGAAGCTCAGACAGCATTTGGATGGCTATTGCTTTCTGTCTGTGTTTTAAGTCAGCTGTTGTTAAAGGTTTGTTTCAGAGAGTTACCCAGGTTTAATACCCTTCCAAGTAGATAATGATTGAAAGAGTATGTCCTGCAGGTGTATGATATTTTCCATCCACTTCAGCACGTTTTTCTGATGGGTCAATGACAGTCCATGAATTGTCTGGTGTAATACTCAAAAATTCTGGAAGTGGCAAATATTCAAGGACAGCCATAATATTCCACTTGGCCAAGGCTCTTCTGACAGGCTCATGTTCATGCAGGATCAGATCTGACCCAGAATCAACAGAACTGAAGCTGCAAATTCAGCTTTGTGAAGGCTTCAGATGTAGCCACGGTTAAAGAAGATTGACATTAAGCAGGTGAGCAGAGTTTGCTTGAGGTTCACCCAGGGAATTCATGAGGCTGCAGGTGCATTCCTTCATGGCCTGAAAAGCAGAGTTTTTGAGGAGTTGTGGTCCCTCTCAGAAACTGTTCCTGCAAAGTAGTCCTGGAAACATGTTTGTCTGCATTCAAGAAAGATCTTCCTTTTGTTCATGTAAAGGAAGCCCAACTTATTTCCCAGGTAAGAGAGCGGAAGCAACTGTGATACAGAATCCTAAGGCATGGGGGCTAGTTGTAATCCAGGCAACATGTAGGGTCAGGTTCTCCAAGTCCTGTGGTTAAAGGGCTCCACCCTAGGAAAGTGAGCCACCCAGGGCTTGGTAAATGACCTTATGATCAGCCCTTGGCCTGTGAGCCTGTCGTAACCGAGGCACGGGACCGGGTTCTTGGTTTGAATTTGCCCGTCAAATGGCCAGTGCAGAAAGGGAAGAGAGCACAGTCCTTCAGGCCAACTCACTCACTTGGCCTATTGAAACATTTGCTCTTCTGAGCAGAGCCTAGTATTGTTGCGGATTAAATACAGCAGAGGATATAAGTTACCAGTATTAGTCACCATCAACTGAGTACTTATTCTGTATCAGTCACTGTTCCTATTGCTTTCCATTTCCACCCGTTATATATTAGTGACGATAAAAATGCCATACAGGCTGGGTGCGGTGGCTCATGCCTGTAATCCCAGCACTTTGGGAGGCCAAGGCAGGTGGACCACCTGAGGTCAGGAGTTTGAGACCAGCCTGGCCAACATGGTGAAACCCCTCCGTCTCTACTAAAAAAAACCAAAAAACAAAAAAAACCTAAACAAAAAGTAGCCCGGCACGGTGGCGGGCTTCTGTAATCCCAGCTACTTGGGAGGCTGAGGCAGCAGAATTGTTTGAACCTGGGAGGCGGAGGTTGCAGTGAGCCAAGATTGTGCCATTGCATTCTAGCATGGGTGACAAAAGCGAAACTCCATCTCAATAAAGAGAAAAAGCCATACAAAAAGGCTAAGAGCCTTGTTCAGCCTCGCACAGGAAAGTGGCAGAGCTAGGGTATTAATTCAGGCATTCACAATCCAGATCCTCTACACATTTCACTGACATGAAACCCAGAAATTTCAGGTCTATTACCTTGAACCCAGAACTATTTTTTCTCAAACTTGTTTTCTTGTGAGGTATGTATAGGAAAAAAATTGCATACAATACAGTACTGCTTTACAAATATGTAATCTAATACCCAAGTCGAGAAAAAAATGATCCTGAGCTCCTCAAAACTCGTGGGTATCCCTTCCCCATCTTGACCTTTTCTTCTGAGATGAGTCCTCCATGCTGCTGTTTGTAATTTTATTCCTCATGATTACATATTTAAGCTACAGGAATACATCTTATATGGTTTTGCTTATGCTTACCTGTATGTATTTTTTTTGTCTTTCCCATTTGATATTTCATTTTCTGTAGTTATCCATGTTGTGTGTAATTGCAACTTCTTAATTTTTATTGATAGTGTTATCTCATTATATATAATATATACTGCATGTAGTATGTATCTTTCTCACTATGTATGTATGCAGAGTGTATGGCCGGGCGCGGTGGCTCAAGCCTGTAATCCCAGCACTTTGGGAGGCCGAGACAGGCGGATCACGAGGTCAGGAGATCGAGACCATCCTGGCTAACACGGAACCCCGTCTCTACTAAAAAATACAAAAAACTAGCCGGGCGAGGTGGCGGGCACCTGTAGTCCCAGCTACTTGGGAGACTGAGGCAGGAGAATGGCGTGAACCCGGGAGGCGGAGCTTGCAGTGAGCTGAGATCCGGCCACTGCACTCCAGCCTGGGCGACAGAGCGAGACTCCGTCTCAAAATAAATAAATAAATAAATAAACAGAGTGTATGCGTTTCACTATATAGACGTATCATTATCTTAGAGTTTCCATATGCATGCCACAGTAAGCCGGTCCCTTCCCCCACCCCCACCCGGTGAGATGGAGTCTTGTTCTGTCACTCAAGCTGGATGGAGTGCAATCTCGGCTCACTTCAGCCTCTGTCTTTCAGGTTGAAGCGATTCTTCTGCTTTAGCCTCCCATGTAACTGGGACTGCAGGCACCCGTCACCACACCCAGCTAATTTTTGTATTTTTAGCAGAGACAGGCTTTTACCATGTTGTCCTGGCTGGTCTCTAACTCCTGACCTCAGGTGATCTGCCCACTTCAGCCTCCCAAAATGCTGGGATTACAGACGTGAGCCACCGTGCTTGGCTGCCGATGCCTTCTATACCTGATGATTGTTTGGGTTGTGTCTAGTCTGCAGTTATCACCAACACTGCAATCGTAATCACTGAAGTATGTGTATCCTGATTTACACAGGTACACATCTCTCGGGGATCTGTTACTGGAAGTGGAATTGATGGATCTTCAATTCAAATGTTGCTCATGGCAGGGTTAATTATAACAAGCACTTTGGTAAACTATCTGCTATTACCTAGAAAACCATGTATACCTTAGACATGCACCAGCCATTCTACTCTGTGGAGTAGGCCACGGAAAAGTACATGCACAGTTGATGAAAAGACATGTATTTAAATGTTTATAGCAGCATTATTTCTAATAGCCAAAAACTGGAAATAAAGCAAAGTGGGTAAGTAAATGGTGGTATATAAATTCAATGGAATTCAACTATAAATAATAAAAAATAATGACCTGTATCTACGTGTGAAAACCTTGATGAATTTTATAAACACAAAGTTGAGCAAAATAATCTAGGCAAAAACTTACCTGTCTGTGAGTTCATCTCTATAACATTCAGAAGTCAGTGTGAAAAGTCAGGATGGTGGTTGCCTGTGAACAGGAGAGAGGCTGTTTTGGGAAGGGCTCACTTGGGTCTTCTCAGTTGCTGGAGTTCACTGTGATAAATTTAGGGTTTGTTTCTTTACTGCCACACACACACACACACATATATATATATATATATATATATTTTTTTTTTTTTTTTTTTTTTTTTTTTTTGAGACAGAGTCTCACTCTGTTCCCCAGGCTGGATGCCTGGCTTTTTATCTTTTAGTAGAAATGGGGTTTCAGCTTGTAGCCCTGGCTGATCTCAAACTCCTGAGCTCAGGAGTCTTTCCTTCTTCACAGGAGGGAAGACCTTTCTTCTACTTTCTGAGAATTCAGTAATTGAGTCCGTGAAAGAAATTGACAGTAGTCAGATTAACGGGAGAAAAGGTATACAAATTAGATATGGACACAGGGACATCACATGAAAGAAAAGCACATGTCCCAGAACCCAGTGAGATCCAGAAGCTTCTGTACCCTCTTAGGACAGAGGGTATAGATGATTAGGTAACTTAGGGGAGAGTAAACAGTTTGGGGGAAAGATAAACGGACTGTCGGAAGAACAGGTAACAGCCGGTGACAAAGTCTGCGTGTGTTGTCAAGGTCTACTCTCCTCTCCTGTGATAGGAGCCAGTCTTCCCTGGTTGGTGAGTTTCCTGGGGAGGGAATTCATGACAATTAAGTTCCTTTTGGATAATCTCTTTAGATAAGGAAGCTCAGAGAAAACCTCTGCCTGTATGAGCTGCTCCCCACATACCCTCAGTTCAGAGTAATCAGCATACCAAAGCATCATATTTTGGGGTGGAGATCCTCCCACCTCAGTCTCTTGAGTAGCTGGGACCACAGGCATGCACCATCATGCCTGGCTAATTTTTTTTAAATTTTTTTCCAGAGACAGAGTCTCACCATATTGCCCAGGCTGGTCTCCAATTCCTGGCCTCGAGTGATCCTCCTACCTCTCTCTCCCAAACAGCTGGGATTACAGGCATGAGTCACCATGCCCAGGCTAGGGGTGGCATTTCCTGAACTCCTTCAGCCCTCTTGGGAAATGTGCAGGCAGGAAGAAAAAAAAATACCCCTGTCCACAGCCAAGTCTTGTTGAACTTATGCTTGGCAGAATAGAACGTTACAGCCAACCACGTGCAAACTGGGATGATAAATGTCTGCGTGTCTGACAGAAGGTTTGGCTTCTGATTCAGCTGTGGTGATTTTTCCATCTACTTAACTCCAAATTCTATTAGCTAGTTTAAACTCTTTATTGGACTATGAACACTGTAAGTACACAATCATATGATTATTTTATCTGTTGACTTAAATAGAATTGTGTATGAAGGCTCTACTGAAGTTATTCAGGGTTGAGTCAGGAAAAGCTAAATTTCAACCTCTTTTAAGAAAAATACTGATGCTTCCAAATCCATAGTATATATGTTGCTTACTAGTTTATAAAGGGCCCTGGAAGAAAGGACATTTCTAGTGTTTTATGTCAATCATAGGAAAATAAGCTGTAATTCTTTAATTATTAAAAGTAGGATTGTGGCCAGCATGGTGGCCCACACTTGTATAGCACTTTGGGAGGCTGAGATGGGAAGATTGCTCAAGGCCAGGAGTTCGAGACAAGCCTGGGTAACATAGCAAGACCCCATCTCTACATAAAGAAAAATGTATGATTGCTTCCCCCCACCAATCCCCGACACTTCCCTGGCTCCAAACCCCAATTCCTCTGCTCTCATTTCTGCTGTGTCTTACTCTATGAAGCTTTCAAAAACTGCCTTTCTAGAGTCCCCCTTTTCCTTTTTATGAATTTATTATTGTTGTTTAATTAAAAGACAGGGTCTCACTCTGTTGCCCAGGCTGGGTGCAGTTCTGCGATCACTACAGCCTCAGTCTCCAAGCGATCCTCCCATCTTAGCCTCCCCAGTGGCTGGGACCATAGGTGCATGCCACCATGCCCAGCTAATTTTTTTTTTGAGATGGAGTCTTGCTCTGTTGCCTAGGCTGGAGTGCAGTGGCGCAATCTCGGCTCACTGCAAGCTCCGCCTCCCGGGTTCACGCCATTCTCCTGCCTCAGCCTCCTGAGTAGTGGTAGCCCCTGCCACCATGCCCAGCTAATTTTTTGAATTTTTAGTAGAGACAGGGTTTCACCATGTTAGCCAGGATGGTCTCGGTCTCCTGACCT